ACACTAAGAAGCCTTGTGAACCTTCTGGAAAGGTTTTGTGTGCTACAGGGTTGGACTCGCATGCAAAAAAAGGTGTTTGAGATATTTCGTAAGCTTACATGTTAGTAGTTCATGAATAAAATACTTTTATATTCATATGCCAGTGATAGGCCAGTCGATTTCGAATAATAAGCTGTTATGTAGTTGTGGCATTCACCGACGTATGCATATTAATGAATTTTTGAAATTTATGCGTTAAAGTAGTGTACAAGATGCAATAATTTCTCTTCAGCCGCTTATCTATTGACTGGATAAGTGAGGTATATATATACTAAGTGACATATAAATCCGAACACCCAGTTTAAATGGTTTTATTTCAATAAAAGTTGGTGAATGTATTTATCTTACTGTAAATAACAAGTGAAAAAATTTTCAGCCTTATCAGTTGGACATTCCGGTTTTTATACTGCTTTTTTTTAATTCACTAACGCTCTAAACATGAATATTTCAGCCGCAGTAAAGAATCAACGTTGGCGGATTTTGGTTCTTGACATCCTTTACGATCGGTTACGATGCCTAGGGTACGGAGACCTGTACCATTTCGTCAACTTAGTGAGTTTGATAGGGGCCGTATAGTGGGACTTCGGGAAGCTGGACTTTCTTTTCGGGCAATTGCAGTTAGAGTGCAAAGAAGTGTAGACACTGTGGTTAGGTGTTGTCAAGCATGGCTTCGAGAATGCCGTACGCAAAGAGCAAGGGGCACTGGACGCCGCCGTAGAACAACAGACCGTGAAGATCGCCGCCTAAGATTATTGGCCTTAAGGGACCGTTTCTCCACTACCAGGTCCATTGCAAATGAATGGTTTGCAGAACACGGAATACCTATTGGCATGCGAAGTGTTTACCGACGAATGAGAAGTTTTGGCTTGTTTTCATACCGGCCACACTGAGTCCTCCCTTTAACTCGAGAACACCGACGTAATCGCCTTGAGTGGTGCAGACAACGGTCACTCTGGGATCAGGAATGGAACAGTATTGTCTTTAGTGACGAGTTTCAATTTTGTTTAGGCATGCACGATGGTCGGGCCAGGGTTAGAAGGCGACGTGGTGAAAGGAGGAATCCACAGTTTATTGTTGAAAGACTTGTTCATCACCCTTTCGGTGTTATGGTTTGGGGTGCTATAGCTTATGGTTCCAGGTCACCTTTAATCTTCATAAGAGGTTATATGAACGCGCAGCGTTATATCCACGAAGTTCTAGAACCCCATCTTTTACCCTATCTTGACACCCTGGCAGATCCAACTTTCCAACAAGATAATGCCCGGCCACATGTTGCAAGAGTCACAATAGGCTTCTTTCAACATAATGATGTCACATTGTTACCATGGCCACCAAGATCTCCCGACTTATCCCCAATTGAGCACGTGTGGGATATGATGGGTAGGAGATTGCTCAACTTGCAACGTCCTCCTCAGACTCTAGAAGTACTTCGAGAGGAGTTGGTGGTTGCCTGGAATGAGATACCCCTGGAGGACATTGACCACCTGATCAGAAGCATGCCTAGGCGCGTTGGAGAATGCGTAGCACATCAGGGTGCATCCACACATTATTAAAGGCTTTAAAGCAGTGCAATCATTTTGAAATTTTTATCATTTACTTATTATGCTTCATTAGGTACTTATACAAAATTTTATTAAAATAAAACCATTTAAACTGGGTGTTCGGATTTATATGTCACTTAGTATATTTTCATTTAGAATTGGAACACCGAAAAAGAACCTAGAGCTGCAAAAAGGTGCGAACGTGTATATAAATGAGTGGCAATGATAAGAATATATTACAGGATGTAGAAGCCCATTGAGTCATCAAAAGACTCATTCTCGAGGCACTACGTCATTTTCATAATCATCCTCGCAAATCAGTTTGATTACCGGTAGTTTTTGATCTACGACCATGATGAGAGATCTGGCAGTTCTTGAGCCGTGTCTATACGTTAGGCTAACATACGCCTACGCAAATATGTAAAGACTAGACAATCGCCGATTATGATGAGCATTTGACGATGTCTTTCTCTGCACACTCGCTGTGGAAACCAATAATAATGCTAATTGGTCTAGTCCTAGTCCCAATGTATCGGTGTACGTTAGCTTGACGTGTAGACACGGCAGTATGCTCTGCTGTAGGTACAACTTATCTGCCCAGGACTTCACACCTTTTCTGTGCAGCTCACGGATTTTTTGCGTTTCCAATTATTGATAATAGAAGGACTATAAGTATGTGTGTGTACATTTCAGAGTTGAGTTAATTGAACAGAAACATAATCAAAAAATTGTAATCATATCAAAATAGAAAATACACCAAATTGATGCATCTTCCGATAAATGGTTTGTCCATAATTTCTTGTCTCCAATGAAATATACGGAAAAAATATTTAGCTTCAATTCTAAAATGTACACACACTTACCTCATTTATCCAGTCAATCGACAAGCAACTGAAGAGAAATTGCTCCACTTACACGCATAAACTTCGAAAATTAGTTCATTCGGAAAAGTCGGTGAACGCCAAACTGGCAAGCGAGCTGGTCTATTACTGAACAACCCCCACCATGTAGTAAGACATCGTCTGTCTGGGTCGTCAACGCATGGACGGCAGGGCTGCCAGGCGTGGAGATTTTTCGCCAAAGTAGGGATTTGACAACTTCAAATGGCGATTGGCTACTTTAGTGTAGCCAAGTATCCAGCAAATTGGCGATATCTGGCGATTTTTAGCATTCCTGATGCCCTTAATTTATAATCTACTTTTGCCGATATAATGACAATAAATCGTCTTTATTTAGGGGGCGAAGCTTAGCATAATGCTACTCTGCCACTTAACGCCCCATCCACCAAAAAAAGAAAAACTGAAAAACAGTACAAAAAATATAAATACATTTGATAGGTTACAAGTTTAAAAATGTAGGTGCATAAAAATTATGATGTATATAACATATATAAGTGAAGGCTATTCAATATTTCATGAGTTGAAAGTATAAAATTGTAACAATTATACAAAGGAATGCTATATTGGAAATATTTTTGTGTGAGGATAAATTTTATTAACTAATTTATATACTTCTATACAGGGTGACTTTGAAGTTGAGTCATTAATTTTCAGATAATGATTGTAGAAGGAAGATAAACCAAAATATGTGTGTAAAAATAAAAAAAAATAAAAAAAAATGTTACCTTGTTTAATAAAGTATCCTCCCGACAAGTATTTCAGTGCGGACCTGTATTTGATCGTGCGGTCTTGGAGCAGCATGCCCTCACCTGTGAGGTCTTAAGTCACCTGATTCACGAGCCCTTTGCACTACATTAACAAAGGCACGAGGGGTTGGTTGCACTCGATTGGGAAACCGATTCGCATAAATCCGTGGTGCATCCGGGAGCATTTTGTAAAGACTGCCCCCCCGTAAATAAGAATCATGTCCACAAGTTCAGCATTTTCGTAAACATGTGCCATTTTTGATTTCATTTGAGCCACGCAACACACTACTATTCACTCAGGATTTATCGACTGACGAAAAACATCGTGATAAACGTTTCAAATTCTTTCGCTTTTTTGTTTCCGATGCGATGAACCGGTCAGGCGGATTATATCCGTTGTCGCCAAACACGAGCATATAATAGGCAGGGCGGTACTCAAACTTCCAAAGGGCTATAACTTTGTTACTTTAATTTTACCAGAAAAATGGTAAAGGAAAAAACATTTCTTTTGATCAGATCTACTCACTGTTAAAATAAATGACTCAACTTCGAAGTCACCCTGTATATTCAAAATAAATTTCTTCATATGCCCTTTAAATTCATCAAATGATAGCAATTTTGTGGATCGAGGTATAGCATTGTAAAAAATAATTGTATAGATTAATGGAACATGAAACGAGGACCAGCGGAAGTTCTGTGCTCTAAGCACAATGGATCCGCCCCATGTGAATGAAGAACTTACAGTTTCGTTCAGACTACACGTGTCTAACAACCCCCCTCCATCCTCCCCCTCTCCATTTTCAAGGAATTGTTTATTATCATATAATATTATTATTATGCCTAACCTCCCTCACCTCCGATCTTCAATTAACAGGCAGGCTACTACCCCCCCCCCCTCCCTCCCACAAATTCATTCCCATCTCTAACCTAGCGTTTTATGGTTGACTCATAGTTATTTCAAAGATTGGCCATTTCTGGCGATATTTTCATCAAAACTTTACGACCAACGTGACTGAAAACCTGACAACCCTGGTGGGCGGTACGGCGACATGGTGGTATGCAGGACTGCAGGGGCGCGCGCCCTTTCCCCGCAAGCCCCTCACCGTCGAACCATCAGCAAGCTGTAGCGCAAAAACTACGCATTTTACATTTTTCCCAGATATCCTCAGCCGTTTCAGCGAAAAAGGGGTTTTTTGGGTTTTTCGCTGTTTTACAAAAAACGTCTGGTTTCCGGAAAACCAAATTCTTACAACAATATTCGCAATCCTTTATTGCACCATTACGCCCGCGGAAATAACTTTGTGGATATGTTATTATTACTTTTGTCTCACTTTCGGCTATTTAACTGGACTATCGCGCAAGCCCCGATAGTATTAAATGTTTATTATATATTTTAAAAAAATGTTTGATAAATATTTGTAGCGACAGATTTTTTAATATTTAATAAATATATTTCTTATATATTTCTTAAATATTCATTATAGATGTGGCTGAAGAACCGGTCGATCGAGCGCGATCGAAAACGTTATAAAGGGAGCAGGGCACAAAATTTGTCATTGCAACATACAACCACATTTTTTGGCTTTAAATGTGCGTAAATCAATGCGGTTTTCATGCAATATCGTTTATTTTATGTGTTTTTATGTGTCATTGAAGTCTAGCCCCCTTCCCCAAAAACATCCCGAAAGTTGTGAGTAACGAGAAAAAGTTATTATTTCGTGAAAATTATAATGAAAAAATGCGGTTTATGCGTTAATCGCATAAGACAAACATACCTCAAGTGCCCTTAGTGGACATGGCATTAACTCGTGGTTTGCCTCCAAAAAAATATATAGATATAAAAAATTACTATGTTGAATCAGATCGGAAACCCGTAATTGTTGAAAATCACACACCATGATAGTCGTTTGCTCGAACGGGGTCCGGAACATACTTTTTTATGGTTAGGGTGGGTTTACATGGCGTTCTGACTAAAAAAATTATATATCAAAAAAATTGGCTTACGCCCAAAAATTTTTTGTGCGAATCGTGTTTATTTAACACGTTCTAACATCCCACCAAGCCGTTTCCCCCAAGGGGGTCTGAAACACCCCCATCCGCACTTCGATCAGAATTCGATAAAACACCTGTCATTTTTCAAAATCGCTTTACGCCCAAAATTTTTTCTCTGATATCGGATCAACTTAACGTGTTCTAATAGCCTATGATAGTCGTTCGCTAGAGCGGGGTCCGGAACATACTTTTTTAGTGTTAGGGTGGGTTTACATGGCGTTCTGACTAAAAAAACTATATTTCAAAAAAATTGGCTTACGCCCAACATTTTTTTGTGCAGATCGTGTTTATTTAACATGTTCTAACATCCCACCCAGCCGTTTCTCCCAGGGGGGTCCGGAACACCCCCATCCGCACTTCGATCAGAATTCGATCAAACACCTGTCATTTTTCAAAATCGCATTACGCCCAAATTTTTTTCACTGATATCGGGTCAACATAACGTGTTCTAATAGCCCATGATAGTTGTTCGCTCGAGCGGGTTCCGGAACATACTTTTTTTAGGGTTAGGGTGGGTTTACATGGCGTTCTGACTAAAAAAACTATATTTCAAAAAAATTGGCTTCCGCCCAAAATTTTTTTGTGAGAATCATGTTTATTTAACATGTTCTAACATCCCACCAAGCCGTCTCCCCCAGGGGGGTTCGGAACACCCCCATCCGCGCTTCGATCAGAATTCGATCAAACACCTGTCATTTATCAAAATCGCTTTATTCCCAAAATTTTTTCACTGATATCCGGTCAACCTAACGTGTTCTAATAGCCCAGGATAGTCCTTCGCTCGAGCGGGGTCCGGAACATACCTTTTTAGGGTTAGGGTGAGTTTACATGGCGTTCTGACTAAAAAAATTATATTTCAAAAAAATTGGCTTACGCTCAAAATTTTTTCGCGGATATCTGGTCAACTTAACGTGTTGATAGTCGTTTAGTTCGATTAGTTTGGGTTTATATGGCGTTCTCACTAAAAAAAATATATTTCAAAGAAATTGGCTTACACCCAAAATTTTCTTGTGAGAGTCGTCTTTATTTAACATGTTCTAACATCCCACCAAGCCGTTTCCCCCAGGGGGGTCCGGAACACCCCCATCTGCACTTCGATTGGAATCCGATCAAACAGCTGTCATTTATCAAAATCGCTTTATGCCCAAAATTTTTTCACTGATATCCGGTCAAACTAACGTGTTCTAATAGCCCAGGATAGTCCTTCGCTCGAGCGGGGTCCGGAACATACCTTTTTAGGGTTAGGGTGGGTTTACATGTCGTTCTGACGAAAAAAACTATATTTCAAAAAAATTGGCTTACGCCCGAAATTTTTTCGCGGATATCTGGTCAACTTAACTTGTTCTAATAGCGCATGATAGTCGTTCGCTCGAGCGGGGTCCGGAACATACGTTTTTAGAGTTAGGGTGGGTTTATATGGCGTTCACACTAAAAAATTATATTTCAAAAAAATTGGCTTACGCCCAAAATTTTTTTGTGAGAATCATGTTTATTTAACATGTTCTAACATCCCACCAAGCCGTTTCCCCCAGGGGGGTCCGGAACACCCCCATCCGCACTTCGATCAGAATTCGATCAAACACCTGTCATTTTTCAAAATCGCTTTACGCCCAAAATTTTTTCACTGATATCCGGTCAACTCAACGTGTTCTAGCCCATGATAGTCGTTCGCTCGAGTGGGGTCCGGAACATACTTTTTTAGGATTAGGGTGGGTTTACATGGCGTTCTGACTAAAAAAATTATATTTCAAAAAAATTGGCTTACGCCCAAAACTTTTTTGTACGAATCGTGTTTATTTAACATGTTCTAACATCCCACCAAGCCGTTTCCCCCAGGGGGGTCCGGAACACCCCCATCCGCACTTCGATCAGAATTCGATCAAACACCTGTCATTTTTCAAAATCGCTTTACGCCCAAAATTTTTTCACTGACATCCGGTCAACATAACGTGTTCTAATAGCCCATGATAGTCGTTTGCTCGAGAGGGGTCCGCATCATACTTTTTAGGGTTAGGGTGGGTTTACATGGCGTTCTGACTAAAAAAACTATAATTAAAAAAAATTGGCTTACGCCCAAAGTTTTTTTATGCGAATCGTGTTTATTTAACATGTTCTAACATCCCATCAAGTCGTTTCCCCCAGGGGGGTCCGGAACACCCTCATCCGCACTTCGATCAGAATTCGATCCAACACCTGTCATTTTTCAAAATCGCTTTACGCCCAAAATTTTTTCCCTGATATCCGTTCAACTCAACGTGAGCTAATAGCCCATGATAGTCTTTCGCTCGAGCGGGGTCCGGAACATACTTTTTTTAGGGTTAGGGTGGGTTTACATGGCGTTCTGATTAAAAAAAACTATATTTCAAATTTTTTCATGCGAATCGTGTTTATTTAACATGTTCTAACATCCCACCAAGCCGTTTCTCCCAGGGGGGTCCGGAACACCCCCATCCACTTCGATCGGAATTTTTTTTTTTTTTATACTCCAACTACCACGAAGGCCTAAGGCCTAAGCACCCATTGGGTACCGTGGGGCTATAGGGGGATACATGGGAAAGAGGGGACGCCACACGGACTCCGGCGAGGGAACACGTGTGCATGCAACATGCACACATTCTGGCTCCGCCTACGAGAACCGCCGGGTGGTACCTCCGCGTTCGACAGTCAGAGACCATCTACCACCTACGGACAATCACAACATCCATGGCCAAGAGAAAAATTTCTCCTGGGACGGGACTCGAACCCGCACAGCGCACGGCGACTGATCAGGAGACCGAAGAGTCTACTACTGCGGCCACCGCTGCTGCCTAAAACAAACACACAACATCCATGGCGAAGGCGAGATTCGAACTCGCGGCCCGGCCGGCCGGCTGATCAGTAGCACGACACTCTGACCCACGCGGCCAACCGAGGTCCATAGGAATTCGATCAAACACCTGTCATTTTTCAAAATCGCTTTATGCCTAAAATTTTTTCACTGATATCCGGTCAACTTAACGTATTCTAATAGCCCATGATAGTCTTTCGCTCGAGCGGGGTCCGGAATATACTTTTTTAGGGTTAGGGTGGGTTTACATGGCATTCTGACAAAAAAATTATATTTCAAAAAAATTTGCTTACGCCCAAAACTTTTTTGTGGGAATCGTGTTTATTTAACATCTTCTAATATCCCACCAAGCCGTTTCTCCCAGGGGGGTCCGGAACACCCCCATCCGCACTTCAATCAGAATTCGATCAAACACCTGTCATTTTTCAAAATCGCTTTATGCCCACAATTTTTTCACTGATATCCGGTCAACTTAACGTATTCTAATAGCCCATGATAGTCTTTCGCTCGAGCGGGGTCCGGAATATACTTTTTTATGGTTAGGATGGGTTTACATGGCGTTCTGACTAAAAAAACTATATTTAACATTTTTTCGTGCGAATCGTGTTTATTTAACATGTTCTAACATCCCACCAAGCCGTTTCTCCCAGGGGGGTCCGGAACACCCCCATCCGCACTTCGATCAGAATTCGATCAAACACCTGTCATTTTTCAAAATCGCTTTACGCCCAAAATTGTTTCACTGATATCCGGTCAACTCAACGTGTTCTAGCCCATGATAGTCGTTCGCTCGAGAGGGGTCCGCATCATACTTTTTAGGGTTAGGGTGGGCTTACATGGCATTCTGACAAAAAAATTATATTTCAAATTTCAAAAAAATTTGCTTACGCCCAAAACTTTTTTGTGGGAATCGTGTTTATTTAACATCTTCTAATATCCCACCAAGCCGTTTCTCCCAGGGGGGTCCGGAACACCCCCATCCGCACTTCAATCAGAATTCGATCAAACACCTGTCATTTTTCAAAATCGCTTTATGCCCAAAATTTTTTCACTGATATCCGGTCAACTTAACGTATTCTAATAGCCCATGTGAGTCTTTCGCTCGAGCGGGGTCCGGAATATACTTTTTTAGGGTTAGGGTGGGTTTACATGGCATTCTGACAAAAAAATTATATTTCAAAAAAATTGGCTTACGCCCAAAACTTTTTTGTACGAATCGTGTTTATTTAACATGTTCTAACATCCCACCAAGCCGTTTCCCCCAGGGGGGTCCGGAACACCCCCATCCGCACTTCGATCAGAATTCGATCAAACACCTGTCATTTTTCAAAATCGCTTTACGCCCAAAATTTTTTCACTGACATCCGGTCAACATAACGTGTTCTAAAAGCCCATGATAGTCGTTTGCTCGAGAGGGGTCCGCATCATACTTTTTAGGGTTAGGGTGGGTTTACATGGCGTTCTGACTAAAAAAACTATAATTAAAAAAAATTGGCTTACGCCCAAAGTTTTTTTATGCGAATCGTGTTTATTTAACATGTTCTAACATCCCATCAAGTCGTTTCCCCCAGGGGGGTCCGGAACACCCTCATCCGCACTTCGATCAGAATTCGATCGAACACCTGTCATTTTTCAAAATCGCTTTACGCCCAAAATTTTTTCCCTGATATCCGTTCAACTCAACGTGAGCTAATAGCCCATGATAGTCTTTCGCTCGAGCGGGGTCCGGAACATACTTTTTTTAAGGTTAGGGTGGGTTTACATGGCGTTCTGATTAAAAAAAACTATATTTCAAATTTTTTCATGCGAATCGTGTTTATTTAACATGTTCTAACATCCCACCAAGCCGTTTCTCCCAGGGGGGTCCGGAACACCCCCATCCACTTCGATCGGAATTCGATCAAACACCTGTCATTTTTCAAAATCGCTTTATGCCCAAAATTTTTTCACTGATATCCGGTCAACTTAACGTATTCTAATAGCCCATGATAGTCTTTCGCTCGAGCGGGGTCCGGAATA